CAAGATTATGTGAAAAAGAAAAAGAGAGATTCAAAAGACTTATGAAAAAAGAATGCGAGAATCGCTGTTGAACGTCAAGAAAGTGCATTTGCGGCGGCGCGTAAATTTATATTATAAAGCGTATATTATTATAGCTCGTTAATATTTTAATTTTAATTTTTGTTATAATTGATATTTATATATATATATATTTTTTTTTTCATTAACAAGATTATGTGAAAAAGAAAAAGAGAGATTCTAAAGACTAATGAAAAAAGAATGCGAGAATCGCTGTTGAACGTCAAGAAGGTGCATTTGCGGCAGCGCGTTCAAGCTTGAGGATTAAAAGAGGGCTAGAGAGAACGAAAATATCTCTTTGTTCGAAAGACACATTCCTCGATATATATATTATCCGCCTTAAATGGCGGCACAAGAGCAAGCAGTGACGTGGTGCGCGATGCAACCGGTTCTCCAAAGCAAAGGGAATCCGCGCACAACACAATGCGGGAGAAATCTTGCGTGCTCGATGACCAAACACGGTCTAAGTCGAACTCTCCTCGGGACTACTTACGTGTCTCCCTTCGTGGACAACGCACGTGTTCTCGCGCGATTATATGGCCACTCGCTCATATATGGCCTCGACGGATAGTTGGCAAGAAACAGTAACGCGTCGTAAAAAGATATTCTACGACCGCGATAACTAGGACCAGGATTGAAAAATAGACGCGAATTTATGGAGTGCGATAAGAAGCACTCAGTTATTACACAGAGAGAATTTTCTCTTAGAATTTACCCTGGAAATCATGGCAATCGTGCGACAATATATGGTACTGAAAGAATCTTATAAGAGCTTCTCTGATTAATATTTATCACAATAAAAATTTTATCACTGTATATAGTAAATTTTACTATGTACATATTAATATTTTTCGTGGTAAATATTAACCAAAGAAACTCTTATAAAATATTACTATGTACATAGTAAATTTTACTATGTACATATTAATATTTTTTTGTGATAAATATTAACCAGAGAAACTCAAGATTCTTCCAATATATTGTCGCACGATAACCATAATTTTCAGGGTAAATTTTAAGAGAAAATTCTCTCCGTATATATATATATATCACTGATTTTTTAGAAACTAGAACAGTAGTTCTTAATCTTTTTGAAGTTACGGAACAGTTACACTTTTGATTCTATAAGAAAAATTTGCGGAACACCAAAATCTTTAAGATTGTCAAACTAACAAAAATATACATGAATATACTTTTTATTAAAAATTATAAAGTACAGATTATATAACAGTAAACAATTTAAATTTAAATTCAAAAAATAATATTTATAAAATTTAAAAATTATAGTAGTTTTTCTATATAGGTAGGTATGCCGCGCTTTCATAATTTTGCGGAATACTTGTAACAAGTTAGCGGAACACTAATGTTCCGCAGAACGTCGGTTAAGATCCACTGAATTAGAAGATAATGGTTCATAGTCAACAACTTGATTACACAACTTAATCTTATAGAAATAATGATAAATCTAATATTAAATAAAGAAAAAATTGTTCTAGAATTTTTTCAGTATTATTTAGCACGCATACACACAAACTTTTTCTCAGATACTTTTATATGATTTTTCTTGTGAATATGCAATTTAATTTTATTTCAAAAAATGATGTTATCAAATAAATAATGGTATAATTTAACATCTTCTTCCGGTAATCACGTCTGTCCCTCTCTTTGGTTATCATCGGCTCTGTAATCGCTTTTCGATAAGACCATAACGTGTAAAAGAATTTCAAAGAAGGAGACTGTGATAAGCGGCGACGAGAACTCTTGCTAAATACTTTTTCAACTGAAATGTGTTTTTATCATAGGGTAACGGCTGATAGAACAATGATAATGAGAATGAACATCGAGAACATTATGTTAAGGTATAGAAAAATAACGTATTCACATTAACTAAATTAATTTATGTAATTTTCATATAAATATATGCGCACGCATACATAAAATAATATATTCGCGTCGATGCAATATTTCAATAATTTCAATATTTTATGCTCGAGAAATTGTATTTATAAAAATAAATATCTAGTTTTTCTCGACGTTCTTGCATAGGCATCTTGTTTATGGGATTTTCAATATCGTGAAAATTTTATGAGAAACTTTCAATGCGAATTTTCTTGCATATTTTCTATATAATCTACTTTTATAGTCACAAACGATAAATATTATCATTCATATATGTATATAGATATAATTGCGAGAAATAGGATTGAAATGTTTGAAAGAGGGCGGATTGAATGGATGAGGATCGAGCATCAATCGTTGTAATAACGCGCCATGATCTCAAAGACCCTTTTGTCGAGAATATCTCGGAGTCGCATCTCGAATCGCTGTTACTTAAAAGATCCTGAAGAAGCGCGCTAAGAGACGAGCAAGATTATTCGCGTCATTTGCATCCGACAATTTCTCGCGTATTAAAGACTAAAGCTGTCCCGTTTCATCCGCGACGACTTTCAATAGCGGGAACGTCAAATATAATTCTTATATCTATATATATTATTATTATCGCAATAAAAGATCAAATTTAGATCCTTTAATTGAATAATACTAATTAAAAATGATTTAACCGAGCCGGGTCGTAAATCATTTCGCTTTTCCACTAAATGTATCCGCGTTTCGTCAAGGATATAACCACATCCCATTTTCTCTCTCTCCTTCCTTCCTCACTTTTTTTCTCTCTCGAGTCGAAAGTCGGGAACGACGCGTTTTTTTTCTTTCCTGACGCGAATCGGAATTCGTTCCCGACGACGGCGGTCGGGAACAAGACGCGCTTCCTCCGTCTCGAGCGACGTATAGCCGAGGGAACCCCTAAAGATAGCGACACTCCGCCACGTGTCGACTAGCAGACAGATCCGCGACCGTTTCGTCATCTCGAGGAACGCGTTTTCCGCGAAATCCGCGGCGATTTTAGTACGCCGACAATCAGCGGAATTATGTTTACTCCTACACTGTAAAAAAAAAAAAAATATGTAAAATTACATAAATAGTAAGTGTAAAATTACACAATAAATAATGAAAATATATATACATTTTTATTATTTATCGTGTAATTTTACACTTATTATTTATGTAATACGCATTACACATTTTTTTACAGTGTATGGATTGCATTCTCTGCGGGAAATATTTATTAAAAAATTAGGAAAACGAAATTCAAAGTAATTTCGTGTAATTTCTGCAAAGAATCGAATTTGATTGAATGTACTTTTGTGCACTAGCGCATTAAAGATTGTTGACTGTGTAAATTTATATTATCTACGAGTTATTGTTATTGTTGCAATATGAATAATATCAACTTGTTATTGTTATTAAATGCGAATAACGATAATAATAACAGCTTGTAGTATTATATTACTGTTTTCATTACTTATGCTGTTATTAATTTATTAATGTGTATATTAATTCATCCAACTGAATTCTTTATAATAGAAATGGATTCTTGATTTTTTTTACGATTTTTTATCTGCACGTTTATATTTTACGTAACGTGTAATATTTTTTAAAATCTCTCTCTTTGTACGATTTCTGCTGATTTTGCTGTGTGTAATTTAACTTTTACGGTTCTCTGTGCGCGCATAGCGATTTAAAAAGAATATTTAACGCAAAATAATTGACTGTGATTCGGAATGTGAATAAATGTTTAAATCTCGCGAATTTCTATGGATTTATGATCTTACATCTCTGTTGGCTTTTGTACATTCTATTATTTCTTGGAGGCTATAAAGCTCCACAAACGATAAAAGTGTTCTCCGCATTATTTTCTTACAAAACAATACGACGAAGTCGCGGTTTAGCAAAATGAAAACTGAAAAGTCAGTGTCCATAAAATGTTCACATTCATAAAAAAAGTCAGATATCAAGAGAATATATATTGCATTAATAAGTTGTATTTAAGAATATATTTTCTTTGAATATCTTTAGTCAATAAAATCATTACGTTGTCCGAATGAAATGAAAATTCTGTAAAATTAATATTTTACTCGTGCTAGAATAAATTCCTATAAATCTCTGAAGAAAAAAATGGTAAAAAGTTGTACATATAAAAGAACGCAAACAAAGAGTTAATGGAATAAAACTAATTGGTAAAACATTTCCCTTCGTGTTATCGAGCGTGCCGAATTTTTCCAGCTCTGCTGCTGGCTGTCACGATTTTTTATCCCGATGCGACACGCGGATAAATCAATATATAGTTAAGTGCACAGAAATAAACGTATCTCCATGTACATCGCGATATACACGCACGTTACATTTTAAGATTACATTGCACACGTTTTATTCTCGTTACGGTAACGATCTCGTGTGTCGTGAAATAATTAATTTACACTTCGATATCGGTTCGCTTTTCGTGCTTGCGTGGAGAGCGTGAAAAAAAGAAGAAAAGAGAGGATTTTGCCACGATTTTTATCACATCATGCAACTCGATAAATCGTCATGTCACTCGAAGTAATAATCAATCGAGAGTTATCGTTCCGCAACGATCGGCGCCGCATGCGCGATCTGATAGGGCATTCTTGCTCAACTATTCCTCATCATGGCAGCTAATCACGGCAAAATATGCATAAATTAACAGTTTGCCATACGTTAGCACAAGGTGAAAATGTGCGCGCAAACACACCTCACGTAGTATAAATTATCTTCGCGATTTTAGAGTATATATATTTCTCGCGATAGGCTTGGAATTTAAATTACGAACGGCATAAAAAATCCGGAGTGCATTTCGCGAACTTGCACGAATAGGAGAAAACTAGTTTTTCACACATTTTTAATTTTAATTGTTTTTGGTGGAAAATATAAATAAATTTTGTATATTAAAATATATATTATTTTTTTTAGACAGTTGTGATTTAAAAATATCCTTTTAAAAATACACGTCTAAGTTGATTTATAATATCGTTAACGTTATTTCATTTAAGTAATATTTAATGATTTCCTCTTTTTTTTCGTTTCAGCAAAATTATCTGATGAAATTCGGTTACTTACCCCAGACTGATTTTGAGACAGGAAATCTGCGGACGGAAGACCAGCTCAGAGATGCTATAAAAAATCTGCAGGTAAGCGAAATTACGACATAGAGGTAGATATTATAATACCGTGCAGCAAAAAAGCTGCTAGTAATTTAATACTTCCCGTTTTACAGTTTTAATTATAAAAAAAAATGAGTTACGTGTATTTTGCATAAAATTTTCTCTTGGGGCTTTAATTGAAACAGTTTACTCAAAGCTTTGACTTTACTAATTAACCAATAAAACTTGATTGCGCGTCGATTTTCGCAAATTGCCTTAAATTAATTAATTATTATTCTCGTAACTTATACCAAATAGAGTTGCGAGCAAACCTCTCCATTCCACAAAAATACGTATATATATTTACCTATCACGAAAACGCGATCGATTGAATACGGATTCTCCAGAAGCTGTCGTGAGCGGGTCGATGAAAATCCTGTCGAAGGAAGTAGGAAAATGGGGCAAAATGTCCTAAGGGATTCCGCGGAGTGTCGGATATATGCGCTTCTCTTCGATTTTCATGCAAATCTTCTTGAGCAACCTCTCGAGTAGCATTTTTACTATTATATTTTCCTCTCGCAAACGGTTGCATTCCGTATAACCATTGTCCGATAGAGAGGGACGGTATAGCTTGATCAAAGGCATCAAACTTAAGTGCGAAATGGAGAACGTATCGGAATACTTTGGACACATTTTATTATAATCTTGGGTCACGAGTTTTATTCATCGACGTTTCTCGATGGTTTTATCGATAATCGCGTTTGTCAGATTCCGAACGCGACTCTGGTTGAAATGCTCAAAAGCGTTTATCTCTCTTCAAAAAGATAAAAATGGATCTTGGCTGACGGAAGGGAACGCGAATATTTCCGGGAAAAACTGAAATAAATAGATTTCTTGAAATAGGTACATCAATGGATATATGAAACAATGAAATATATTTTCTAGATTCGATTTTTATATACATTTCAAAATGTTGTTTTTTGTATAAGAGTATTGTTGTATGTATATTCAAGAGTTTATGCGCAGGAGATAGAAAATATTAATATTAAAATACATTTAACTTTAAATATATAATTTCTTGTATATGATAATATTAGTTGCTAATCTTGTAAAAAATAATTACTTATCATTTATTAAAAAGAAAGAAAAATAGAAAAAATAATTTGTATATAGTTAAATTAAACAAAAATCTTTCCTCAATGGTAAAAGTCGACCAAACTGGCAATCATTTATTATAGATAATTAGTTAAAATACAACGTTTCGGCTGTCATTGCAGCCCTTTTCAAGCAAATCTATAAAAAGTTATAATACAAAATAATTATAATTTTAATACATTTCATCGCAAGAAATAATTATAAATTCATATACAAAAATATGTTACATACCAAAAGTAAATGCAAAATAAATTAATACAGTAAATCAAATTCACTGCATTTTAACTAATTATCTATAATAAATGATTGCCAATTTGGTCGACTTTTACCATTGAGGAAAGATCTTTATTAATTATTACTGGCGAATCTTAAGGATTATTATCTGTTAAATTAAACAGTTTTAATATCTTTTTATTTTCTTCAAATATGAGTCATAGACGAAATATGAGAAATGCATTTCTCTGTGACATTTTCTTTTCCAAATAACATTTCAAGAGATTATACTACAGTGATGATAAACCGTGTGCATATTTACATTCTGGTCAGAAATTCGGTGGTATTCCCGTGACTGGGGAGCTCGACGAGGCGACAAAGAAATTGATGAAGGCCAAGAGATGTGGATTACCGGATCAGCCGGATTACAGATTCATGAAGACGAGGCACAAGCGTTTCACCATCCACGGACAACAGTGGCAGTATCGAAATCTCACCTGGAGGTGAGTACACTTCAAAAATATCAGTAGAATGTTGTTGTAAAAATAAGAAAATATTTTCGAAACAACGGGCGTCGAACACGAGACCAAAAATTCAGGTCAAACAATTCAGAAACCTGAATTGATCTGTTACGATATCACAATAATATCACAATCGCCAAATCAATTATTTGACAATGTTATAACCCAGCAAACACAATATATAAATGTTATATATACTTAAGCATGTTACATATAACGTATATGTTAGTTGTAATTTCCCACTCATAGATGTAACATTTTTAATATTACATATATTACATTGTAGTTATATTGTCATTATATCCCAAAATAGCACTGACTTATTAATACATTAATGTGCTATTTGGTATATAATTACAATATAACTACAATGTAATATATGTTATATTAAAATGTTACATCTATGAGTGGGAAATTACAACTAACATGGATGTTACATGTAACGTACGCGTTATATTACCTGTTATATTCCGTTTTATTATAGCAATGTAACAATTATATATTGGTATTTGCTACGAAATTATTTATATTGTGCGTATATCATGTGTTAGAAGTTTCGTTTTACTTCTAAAAGCATAAAAATCTCTTTAATCATCCATGCAACTGCGCGTAAATATAATTCTAGGACCGACTTGAAAAATGTCGTTTTTTTTTTCATCGTAAAAATGTTCCTTTTCAATTTTGACTTATTTTTGCCACTACGAAACGTCATGCGTCTTCGAACCATTGTTACTGACGCACTTTATATATTTATATCTCTTCTGAAACGAACCGATTCTCCCGAGAATTCGTGTATTTCGACGCATTCGGAACAAATCGCAAGTCACGCGCCGTCGAGATATGCGGCGACGCGTTTTCCGCGGACGGAATTATCGCGACGATAATAATATCCCCGGGATGTTTCTCGACGCGACGATAACTCATCTGGTAGGTACCTGTTGGTTAGAGACGGTCCATACAGGATGTCTGGCCCCTTAATTGCGGGCTTCCTCCGTGTCGGGGCCTCGCCTCGCATTAACGTACTGACTCGGCTCGGAAATGCCATTGACATTGTTGGTCCCCGGCCAACTGGCGGCTCCTTGCGAATGGCAGAACGATGGAAACATTGCGTCTTCCCCGAGAAATTAAGGCAGGCTTTACCTCGCCAAAATCCCATTTACACGATGTTTTCCTTGGGACGAGAATGTCTCTTTATCGGGACATGCTCTCTTAACTTTAGCTACCTCTAATAAATCACAGAAAAAAAAGGAATCCTTGATTCTATATTTTTATTCTCGAACGCTATTTGATTGATTTAAGCATAGAATGCTCTTTGTAATCACAAATTTTTATTTGCCTTAATAATAAATAAATTTGTGTGAAATATATTTTATTCTTAAGATATATTCTTGTTTGAAAAATCGCATATGGTAAAAACAAACTTAGTCACATTTGAATTAAGAATTATATATTTGAAAGTATCACTTATATTCGATGCTCACTTGTCCTTGCAATATTTATAAGTAAATTTCAGCTTCAACCAAGAATATTTTGCACTTTGTTTTAAGGATAAATTATCCTTTATCCAAAATTATTTATATTTGGCGCTATTATAAGGATAAAATATACTTGAATCAAGGCATTTTGCATTTTCTCAAGGATACTGTTTTTTCTGTGATCCGGGTAGAAAACCCGGAGGCAGTTTCAACTTTGCGAATCAAAATTATTGAATATCGAATACTTTTTTGCGCGAGGTAAAATTGAAATTAAAGATGCGCGTAATCATAGAAAAAAAAATCCTTGATTCAAGTATATTTTTATTCTTGAACGCTATTTGATTGATTTAAGCATAGAATGCTCTTTATAATCAAAAATTTTTATTTGCCTTAATAATAAATAAGTTTGTGTGAAGTATATTTTATCCTTAAGATATATTCTTGTTTTAAAACTCGCATATGGTAAAAACAAACTTACAACCAGCTTCAACCAAGAATATTTTGCACTTTGTTTTAAGGATAAATTATCCTTTATCCAAAATTATTTATATTTGGCGCTATTATAAGGATAAAATATACTTGAATCAAGGCATATTTGCATTTTCTCAAGGATACTGTTTTTTCTGTGATCTTGTACTTTATATAGCTCCATCTCAGTAATATCATCATACTTTCTCTTTCTTGTCTTTTTTACTTAGAAATTTTAAAGAAAATATATTCTTTGCGAAAGTCGTACGAAATGTAAAATATAAGATCAGTGACCACGACATAATTTAAAAAAAAAAAAAAAAAAAACACCCTAGAGAATAAAAGTTGATTTAAACATATTTGGGTATCATATATAAAATGAAAGAACAATATGTTCTAATATTTTAATGCAATTCGCGCGCTTTGATTTAAGTATCATTCTCATAATTATCATCGTATGAATTGACTTATGAAAAATTAATTAATTTTAACGTTTGTGAGTACATGAATGTTAGTGGTAAAATAGATTTCTGTGTTCATGACTCGTGCTGGTACCACAGAGAACTTCTAAAGCGTTCTTCACGTTGATACGGAGAGCAGCTGCAATATCGGCTCCATTTTGGTGCATCATGTGGCACCCTCTGCAATTAATCGATAGGCGCGGTTATATTAATTCATAAAATTGAATGAATCGTGTAAAATTAAAAAATAATTAAATTATAAACTGATTCGCGTTTACCTTTTTTGTAGGGATAATTATATTTACCACGCTACATAAATGCGATAGTTTTATTTTATTTTTACATGAATTAATAAAATCTATAACATAGCTTCTTTGATTAATGTTGTCGTTGAAGTAATTTGTTGAAATTATATGCGTTTTAAAATGCATATTTCGAAATAGTTTGGGAAAGTTAGGGTCTTTTTTGACAATGCAATTTCAGTTTATGTTATATGCATATATTATCCAGATACAACTTATTTTGTTATTTTGTCTTTCTTAATTGTATTTCTAAACTAGATTGCAAATACGTTTTCTTGTGAACTAGTGTGTTTTCTAAAAAAATCATTAAAATATATTCGCAATGCAGAAGATACATATTATCAATCGATATAAATAAAATACTTGAAATACCTTAAAATAAGTATTTTATTTTTACATGAATTAATAAAATCTATAACATAGCTTCTTTGATTAATGTTGTCGTCGAAGTATTTCGTTGAAATTATATGCGTTTTAAAATGCATATTTCGAAATAGTTTGGGAAAGTTAGGGTCTTTTTTGACAATGCAATTTCAGTTTATGTTATATGCATATATTATCCAGATACAACTTATTTTGTTATTTTGTCTTTCTTAATTGTATTTCTAAACTAGATTGCAAATACGTTTTCTTGTGAACTAGTGTGTTTTCTAAAAAAATCATTAAAATATACTCGCAATGCAGAAGATACATATTATCAATCGATATAAATAAAATACTTGAAATACCTTAAAATAGGTTTAAGGACTTTTGGCTCCGTCATCGCGGTATTATTCTTGTTAATTACCTGTGTGCATTGTTCAAAGTGCATTTGTGCGGTTTCGCAAAAATTCGGAATTCCATCCGATAATGTCTATCGCGGCCGTTAATATTCAGACATGCTAATTAACGTGAATCCTACACGGTGCTCGTTATTAATTAGCCGCCTTAACGAGTGACCGAATTCTCCGGTAGAAACGAACAGAGAGGATATCTCACGAAAAACGTCCCCGTAATTTTCACGCCTCGGAAAAGTTCATGGTGCCTTTCTCTCTCTACGCTCGTCGTGCAATCGGGACAATCAGAATCAAAGTACGCTGTCGACACAGATTGGGCAGGTCGAGTGATTAACTTCGTTATCCAGTTATCGCACTATGGCTTGTCCGCGAATTTTGCGAATTCTGCGAAAAGACCGATGGATATTCAGGCCTTTGTGTACGAATTTCGATCGGGGCAAATTTGGCAGATTTTCATGCGTCAACGAGAGTTTATTTGCCTTTCTAACTGGACCCTATTTGTTCCCTTCGGCGCGTGTACGTGGTCAAAGGAAGACGCGAGGTTTTTATTGGGAGAGGAGTTTGCAAAAGAATTGTATGATGTTGAATCTTTTGCAATTTTTTATAAACAAACTATTTTTTTACATTTTTTCGAAAACGTTTCATGGATTTATTTTACAACTCTTGAAAATAAATTTTATTCACAAAATCGCACATATACACTGAAAAAAAATTTATTGAGTTCGAATAAGTATATTTATTTCAATACTGCCCGATGAATTATTTATTTGAAGCTAATAATATTGATTTGACATGAAAAATATTTATTTGATATAAGAAGATCTTTTTCAAAACAAATAAAATATTTATTTATTTTAAATAAATGATTCGTTTGGGAGTATTCAAATAAATATTTATTAATTTAGTAATTATTTTTTAGTGTATATATATATATATATAATTCTTTATGCCAACATGCTTCTCTTGGAAAAATATATATTTACATCATATTTCTGAGATATTAAGGAAATTCGATTTTTTTTAATTTGCGACACTAAATGTGCGGTGCGTTTTAAATTGGGGTAGAGACGTGACTTAATGGGGAGTGCGGGATGAGAAATTAACGACGACGGCACTTCTAATTTTCCTCACGTTGCTTGAACGAGCAATTCGAAATTAGCGTCTCGACGTTCCGAAGCTTCGAGCGTCTCGAAGCTTCGGGATATTTTGTCTTTTCTTCTCCAATTTTATATTAAATAAAGTTCAAAATAATTATATGAAATTAATTTAAAACAAACTCTTAATATTTATGGAAGATTTTCCCTTCGGGAATCTAACTTGCGGGAAAATGCTTAATAATCTTTTTAGGGAAATATATCAAAGCTAGTTGAAAAATTTTGATAAAATAAAATACGAAAAGAAGTAATATGGAATATTATTATTCGAAATTCATTATTAAAACTTTGAATATTATAATAGGTAACATTATGATTTTGAGATACAATTATTAAGTTGCATTTG